TGCTCTCAGCTACTGCAGCAGTAAACAGGAAGGAAACTTTAGGTAAACTCAAAGGTTCTCCAACAGGGATGGAGCGCAGAGGATGGCACAGAATTAATGGATGCAGAGACAGCAGGTCCTTTCTCCCCCACTCTCTGGCACAGACAGGTCACACTCCAGACTGCAGATGCCATAACTCGCCTGGACTACTGGGACAGGCAGGAAACTGCAGATCCTCACTACACCTGCTTCTCATTCAACACCAACAAGAATTCAAATGGACTCCTTCCTACACAGCAGCAACTCAGGAGGCCTCTGCCAGATGATACAGCCTTAATTATAACTCAGCCCTGTCACCAGCCCAGAAAACGTAAAGTTGGAAACAAGAGGCACTGAAACAAAAGTTTGCAAACTGACATCTAGAAAATTAACAGAGAACTTTATTGGATGTTTCCTCACAGGTAGCTCAAATCATCAGTTTGTTCACCCCAAGGAGCAGAGCATAGCAACATGCTGGTGACCCAAGGACAACTCCAATTCTGGTGGGCAGTGACCTCAGTCTGTGAAAGATCCTACTGCTTGGGTGGACTTCTGTTCCTCTTCCCACACTCACACTGAAGCAACCTAGTTTCCACTCACAGCCCCAAGGGAACAAGAACCAGACAGCATTTCAGCTCTGCTAAATGCCAACTTGTCCTGAATGGGAATCTGACCCAAGATGTTCTCCAACAGCCTATCAGTGAGGCTGAATGCGTGTCAAAGGGGAAACCAAAGATAAATCCATGCCCGTAGGAAATAAAGAGCAATGTCTTATGATCTGCTCTTATAAGACACATTCAGGTGACTGGTGTACCCCACAGCAGGTGACAGCTCTTCAATTTCAGTCTGGAATCCTGGACAGATGCCTAAAAACATTGTGTGTGGAAAGGATATCTAACCCTCACTTAGCAGAAGGTGTTTAACTATCACTGATTAACACAAAGTAAAACTGTCCATTTACAGACATCTGAGGTTGGGGAATGACATATAGCTGTGAAGCCTTTAAAGGCACCAATTCTTTTCACATTTGTGTACCTCTTCCTCTCAGCCAGTAGGATTGAGAAACACCATGTACCAGAACAAGCTGTTCTGGGACTTCCTTAATTTTTGTTGTTGTGATGTAGATTAATTTAAATTATATTTATTTTAAGGTTTTCACCCAACCCTTCTCTCCAACTGTTTTGCAATCAGATAAGAAACAGCTCACTTGGCTCCAGATAAAAAATACAGGAA